TGTGAGTTTCTCGTCATGCCATTTGGCGTCACAAATGCCCCAATAGCCTTCATGAACCTCATGAACCGAGTGTTCAAACCCTATCTTGATGAGTTTGTCATGGTCTTCATTGATGACATTCTCATATACTCCAAGTCACCGAAAGACCATGAGAAGCACTTGCGAACGGTTCTATAAACACACCATTTCAATGGACAGACAAAGAAGAACGTTGCTTTCAAGAGTTAAAAAGCAAACTTGTGTCAGCTCCTATACTAGCATTCCTTGTCACGATCCAACCCCAGGGGCTTAGGGTTGGAATCGCAACTTACTAACTTATTCTATTCGTAGCAACTTAAACTGCGCAAGTGGAAATAAAAATAATTAAATAGGAAATTTCTCCATTTTACTATTTTAATAAGAGAAAATACATTTATAGGGTTTTTATTATTTTATTATTCAGTGACTGGCCTCGAGTAGAAACAAAAGCGAGCAAAAATATATATAAAAAAAAGAAAGACAAAATAGTGGTTCAACATTAATCCTCATGCGGGTTCCATTACGTGAGGTTATGGGTTTTCCCTATATCTCGTCACCTGAAATGGTAACAGCTATAAGCACACAATAGAGTGAGAAATATTATGCCACAAGAGTATAGGGAATACAAAATAACCATGGATAGTTAGTTAGGCCAAAACATTTACATAACTCAATTTGGTGAATAAATCATTTAAGTGACAAAAACTAAAATATAGAAATTATATAAATAAATAACCATAACCACGGTACAGAATAGAGCAGAACAGTGGTCACAGAAGTGACAGTCAGAACAGAGGTCAATGGATCCATGACAAACAGAGAACTACAAAGTGGCAAAACAGAGGCTAATGGTTATTTAAGTCCCCCAAGGCGTGGGACTCCTGTGGTGGTACTTACAAAACATTATTATTTATAAGGTCATAGTCAAATATATACTAAAATTTAAACAAACATATCAATGGGTTTCATTTTAAACAAATAGAGTTTAGAAAATAACCCACATAATTGAAATATTAATATAATTTATAAAACATAACTTGTATAAAATAAATTATGGTAAGTCAAAATATTCATAAAATATATTATGGTAATTCAAGGTATAATATAACTCACTTGAATATTGACTCTTAGTCTTACTTTCCACCATTACAACCTTCTTACTATAAGTTTCCTACTTTCAGTAACTTACGTGCCCCTCTCTCTTTTTTTCCTTTCCTTTTCTTTCCATAGATTTGATCAACTCCTCCCTATAGCATCATCAGGCCAACACGTGGCCAGTTCGAATCCTCCTTTGGATTTGCTCATAACTCACCTTGAATTTGCTCATTACTAACCATAGATTTATACTTATCTTAGTGAATGTTTATGGTAATTACACTTTTGCCCTATAGTAATTACACTTTTGCCCAGTTTTCTAGCATAACTATATAAATAAATTAATCCTTAATTAAATTACACTTTATCGTATACCAATAGAAAATTAATTATTTATTTTACTACCACACCCACTATTATTATTTTTTTTATTGTTATTATTATTATTATTATTATTATTATTGTTATCAATATTATTATTTATTTACTCCTACTTCTATATTTATTTATTTACTATCTTTAACTCTAATTTGACCCAACTAGTATTATAATTCCATATTTTGTTAATTTGGCCCCAAATAGTAAGCCCTAACTAATCCCATATTTGATAACCCAACGCCAAATTAGATTATGCATTTATTATTATTTATTTAATAATATATTATCACATACACCCACAATTATATATAACTATAAATATTTTTAAGTAAACGCTCAGGGTGTCACATTTCTCCCCTCCTAAATAGAAGTTTGTCCCCAAACTTGACGTACCTTAATTTTCGAAAAGGGTGTGGGTATTTGGCTCACATTTGACTTTCTGTTTCCTACATGGCTTATTTGATACGATGATTTCGCCGTAAGACCTTTACCAGGGGTATGGTTTTGTTTCGGAGAACTTAATCACGACGATTGAGAGTCTGCACTAGTTGCTCTTCATAAAAGAGATCCTCTTGAACTTCCAGGTTCTCATAGTCGATGACATGTTCTGGATCATGGAGGTACCGTTAGAGCATTGAAACGTGAAACAAATTGTGGATATTGGATAGTTCAGGTGGTAGTGCAAGGTGATAAGCTACAGGACCAATTCTTTCCAGTATCTCGAATGGCCCAATGTAACGTGGGTTTAGCTTTCCTCGTTTTCCAAATCGGATAACTCCTTTTGTTGGTGAGATCTTGAGGAACACATGATCCCCTATTTGAAATTCCAAGTCCCGTCTCTGTGTATCTACATAACTTTTCTGGCGGCTCTGAGCAGTGCGAATTCGTTGTTGGATGAGTTGGATTTTCTCACTTGTGACTTGCATGATCTCGGGGCCTAACAGTTTCTTGTCCCCGACTTTTGTCCAACATAGAGGTGATCGACATCTTCTTTCATATGGAGCTTCATACGGTGCCATTCCAATGCTTGCTTGGTAGCTGTTGTTATAGACGAATTCCATTAAAGGTAGGTGCTCATCCCAGTTACCTTTAAGGTCCAACACGTATACACGTAACATGTCTTCCAACGTCTGGATTGTTCTTTTGGATTACCCATCCGTTTGTGGGTGATAAGTATTGCTAAATTTCAGTGTGGTTCCCAAAGCTTCCTGTAATTTGTTCCAGAAGTGAGACACAAAGCGGGCGTCTCAGTCAGACATGATTGAAACTAGAGTGCCATGCAAACAAATAACTTCCTTGACCTACAAGGTGGCAAACTTATTAAGAGAGTACATGATTTTGATTGGTAGAAAATGTGTCGACTTCGTCAATCGGTCTACTATAACCCATATTGTATCATTCTTCGAAAATGACTGTGGTAGCCTGACCACGAAGTCCATAGTGATGGGTTCCCATTTCCATTCAGGAATAGGGAGTGGTTGCAGCAGTCCTGCAGGTCTCTGATGTTCTGCTTTAACACACTGACAATGCAGACATTTGGAGACATGGCTTGCTACGTCTCTTTTCATTCCTGTCCACCAGTAGTGTTCCTTCAGATTATGGTACATCTTTGTGTTGTCAGGGTGAAGTGAGAATCTCGAGCTATGAGTTTCCACCAATATCTTCTTCTTGAGTTTTGGAATGTCGGGTACACAAATTCGAATCCAAAATTTTAGTATCCCATTGTTTATAGTGAAATCAGGATTAGGTGTACTTCCTTACTCATCGTACCTTTTCTTCAAAAGGTTATCTTCACATTGGCATGCTCTAATTTCTTCAATCAAGGTAGGTTCCACAGTTATGTTGGTGAGCAGTCCATTGATCTTGCGGGAAATGAGAGTACATGCCAAACTTCTGGTCGTCTTTCGGCTCAGTGCGTCTGCCACCACGTTAGCTTTGCCTGGATGATGATGGATCTCTACATCATAGTCTTTCATAAATTCTAGCCACTATCGTTGCCTCATATTCAGTTCCTTCTGTGTGAACAGATATATAAGACTCTTGTGATCAATGTAAATCTCGCAGGTTACACCGTAGAGATAATGACGCCAGATTTTGAGAGCAAAGATTACCGCAACCAATTCCAGATCATGAGTTGGGCAGTTCTTCTCATGAGTCTTTAATTGTCGCGATGTCTAAGCAATGACTTTTCCATTTTGCATGAGAACGCAACCCAAACCATTGTATGAGGCATCACTATAGATTAGGAACCTGTTTGCTCCTGTAGAGAGTGCTAGTATAGGAGGTAACACAAGTCGACTTTTTAATTCTTGGAAGCAACGCTCTTGTTTGTCAGTCCATTCAAAGGGTGTGTTCTTCTGAGTTGGCTGGGTCAAGGGTGATGCTATCTTTGAGAAATTTTGCACAAAGCGTCGATAATAGCCAGCTAGACCCAAGAAACTTCAGATTTCTGACACATTAATAGGTCGTGGCCAGTCCATACTTGCTGCAAGTTTTTGAGGGTCAACCGAGATGCTATCTTTGTTAATGACGTGACCAAGAAAGTGTACACTAGTGATCCAGAATTCACATTTCTTCAACTTGGCATAAAATTTATGATCACGTAGTGTTTGTAGAACCGTTCGCAAATGCTGGTCATGGGCCTTTGGTGACTTGGAGTTATATGAGAATGTCGTCAATGAAGACGATGACGAACTCATCAAGATAGGGTTTAAATACTTGGTTCATGAGGTCCATGAAGGCTGTTGGAGCATTTGTGACGCCAAAAGGCTTGACAAGAAACTCGTAGTGCCTATAACGGGTTCTGAAGGAAGTCTTTTCGATACTTTCCGTTTTGAGTTTTAGTTGATGGTAGCCAGAACGCAAGTCGATTTTGGAGAATACTTGGGGGCCTTGAAGTTGATCGAATAAGTCATCAATTCGTGGCAGAGGGTACCGGTTCTTGATGGTGAGCTTGTTCAGTTCTCGGTAATCGATGCATAACCTCATCATGCCACCCTTTTTCTTCACGAACAATACTGAAGCTCCCCAGGGTTGGGTACTAGGTCGAATGAAACCTTTGTCCAGGAGTTCCTGGAGTTGAGTCTTCAGCTCTTTCAATTCTGTCATCGACATGCGATTAGGAGCTTTTGATATTGGTTGTGTGCTAGGTTGGGTTTCAATGGTAAATTTGATTTCCCGATCAACCGGAATACCGAGTAGATCTTCAAGAAAAACATCCGGGAATTCTTGTACTACGGGGGTCGCATCAAAGGTGGGGGCCTTTTTTTGTGTATCGATCACATAACAAATATAATTGCCACAACCCTTTCTTAGAAGTCGTTGAGCTGTCATGGAGGATATAATACAAGGAGGGTTGGAAACTCCAGTCCCATCAAAGACAAGCTTGGGTTGGTTTGGTAACCTGAGGAAGACCTTTTTGGCTTTACAATCAATAGAGGTGTGGTTGGCAGCTAGCCAATCCATACCTAAGATCATATCAAAGTTCCCAATGCGGAGGGAAATTAAGTCTACATATAAGGTTTTGCCTTTAAGAATATAGCACAAGATCTGTACACATCAGTACTACAGGCAGTCTTATTAGAAGGAAAAGACATAGATAATATATGTCCTAATGGTTTGGGTGTTGATGCCAACTTGGCAGCAAAGTATGGCGTAACAAAAAAATGAGTTGACCCAGAGTCAATGAGGACATGAACTAGATGACCACAGACAGAAAGTGTACCTAACACAACGTTTTCGATAACTTCTGACTTTCCAGGTACCAAGGCAAAAGCCCGTCCTTGGCGTTTTTGGTCCTTTCTCTCTCCTCCAGGTCCTGCAGGTTTTCTGATCGGGCCAGAGGGGCTGGCTGTAGAATCGGTCATTTTTGGACAATCCCTCAGCAGGTGGCCAACTTGATCACATTTAAAGCATGCCTCTATGTCTCGATGGCATTGTCCCCAATGAGCCTTTCCACAAGTACGACAAATTGGAAGAGTGTCACCTCGGGAGTTGGTAGGACCTTGATGGCCTAAACTGGTTGTGCCCGTATTCACCTTTTTGGGAGGTGCAACATTGGGTCTTCTGTTGTCTCTTTCCCAGAATCTCTTCTTGTGGTTTGGTTCCCCGGAATGCGAGGCTTTAATCCCCTTTTCTGTAATGTACGCCCGGTCTACCACTTCTGTATAGGTTGGCAGTTTCAAGACCTCGAGCCTATCTTTAATTTCAACATCCAATCCTGCTTCGAATTTTCTTACTTTTTGAGTTTCGGTGGGGATGACATATGTCACAAACCGAACGAGTTGTGTGAACTTACTCTCGTATTCGGCCACCGTCATGGTTCCTTACTTTAGGCGTATGAATTCGGATGCCTTTTGTTCCCGCAATGAATTTGGGAAGTATTTTTCATAGAATACTTCCAAGAATCTTGCCCAAGTCGTAATTTCTTCTTTTCTCCAGAGTGAAAAGCCACCATTCCTGTGCATTGTCTTTGAAGGTGAAAGTAGCGAAAGTTACCTTCTGTCTTTCGGTGCAGGGTAGGGCGCGAAAAATCTTTTCCATGTCTTTAACCTAAGCGTCTGTTATCATTGGGTCTGGGCCGCCGATAAATGTGGTGGGTTTCAGATCCTGGAACTGTTTTATGGTAACCGGCTCTTCTCGCCGTTCCGGCATCCCATTGTTGATGTTAGTCTGCAAAGCTTGCAAAAAGCTAGTAACCGCTCTTTCCATGATTCTTTCCACCAATTCAGCACCACTGACTGATGACTCGCTTTAATTACCATTATTGGCCATTCTACAATTTTTTTTTTCCTTTTCTTCCTTTTATTTTTATTTTTTACTGAGGGCCGGTCACTGCATGAGCAATCTATATCTATATAAAATGCCAACTTTACTATTTTTACAATTAAGATTACATCTTTGTTTCAAAAATCGGGATATGTTAATGTCTCATCCCTGTGGCACAACAAAACAAAAAAAAACAACAGAAAGGGATTAGAACACATCATAGTCATCATACAAAAAGGTTTTCTTCTACCAAGTCTAGAGTGGTGGGTCAAATGGGTCAAACAACCATGGGAAATAGTGTTGCATAAAAAGCTCAAATTCTCATACTAACTGGACTACACCAAAACACATCCATGCTGCCTGGACTGTGAAAATGGGGACGAACTGTATATATCCCAAAAATGCTCGATCGACAATCCAATCCGGTGTCTCGACATATGACAAGTCATTATTAAAGTCAACATTTTGAATATTAATGACCTCCAGCGGGTTAGGGACAGTGGTGAAAATATAGTCCTCAGGGTACACGTTCCCCTTTCTGGCCACAAAATCTGGGGGTAGAAGGCCTATGATATAGTGCGATCGATCATGTCCTGGGGCAATGCCAAAGACACGAGTGGGTCCAAGAAAATGTTTGCGTGTATCGGCACGGTTTTGCCTCCATAGTAAATGTGGGACATCGATAGGATCAGCCTGTATATAGATTGGCCGACCCATCAATTGGGCAAGGCCTGGATGCAGTCCTCTAAATCTCCCTAACCCTCAGGTGAGGCGGGGGCGGGGTGCTCAGCTAAAATTTTCATCTAAATTAATGGCTCCGAGCTCATTCCAAAATGCATCATCAAGGTTAATCTCTGACATTCCTACATCACTAGAATAAAAGTGAGATTTTACACAAAAGGACTAACGTTGCAGGTAAATATTTATTATTATTTTAATTTAATTTTATTATGTTTATTCAGCTATATAGTTTTATTTATAGATTTATTTATAACTTTTCAAACTTCCTGATCAAATTAAAATAGCATTTTTTTTTAACCATTGCTCTGATACCACCTTTTGTCACGACCTAACCCCAGGGGCTTAGGGTTGGAATCTTTACTTACTAACTTATTCTTTTGTAGCAAATTAAACTATGCAAGCGGAAATAAAAATAATTAAATAGGAAATTACTCCATTTTACTATTTTAATAAGAGAAAATACATTTATAGGGCTTTTATTATTTTATTATTCAGTGACCGACCCCGAGTAGAAACAAAAAGGAGCAAAAATATATATATAAAAAAGAAAGACAAAATAGTGGTTCAACATCAATTCTTGCACTACCACCTGAACTATCCAATGTTCACAATGTGTTTCACGTTTCAATGCTTCAACGGTATCTTCGAGATCCAGAACATGTTGTTGATTATGAGAACCTGAAAGTTCAAGAGGATCTCTCTTACGAAGAGCAACCAGTTCAGATTCTCGATCATCGTGATCAAGTTCTTCGAAACAAGACTATACCTCTGGTAAAAGTCTTGTGCAGAAATCATCGAGTCGAAGAAGCGACGTGAGAAACTGAAAATCAAATGCGAGTCAAATACCCCCACCTCTTCGACAACCAAGGTACGTTAAGTTTGGGGACAAACTTCTATTCAGGAGGGGAGAATTATGACGCTTTAAATGTTTAATTAAATACCACATAAATATATATAATTATCGTTGTATGTGATAATATATTAAATGGTATATAATTGTTTTAAGAATTGAACCAAAGTAAAATGACACCAAAAAGTAAATAATAAGAATAAGAATAATAAACTAAATATATAAAATAATATAATTAATCACATAGCCATATGTACTAAGGTGTAATTTAATTTGGCATTAATTTATCAACATGTGAATGATATGTTATCTAGGGGCTAAAATCACAAGATTACGGAATTATGAAAAAAAAGGGGCAAAAGAGGAATATAATAAAAAGTGGCCAAAGCGCTGGAAGATTAGGAGATCAACCACCTATTAAGTCTAAGTAGTAGACATAATGAATCATCACATAGGATAATAATTATAGGGAGAGGCACCTGCTAAGGCTCATCTATAAAGGGAGTAATTGGTTGCCAATGAAAACGAAAAGGAAATAGAAAGGAAAAGGGGAGCGAAGGAACAACCGTGAGAAGGTAGCAAAAATAAGAAGAAAATAGTAAGGGTCAATACTAAGGTGAGTTATATTATACCTTGAGTTACCATAATATATTTTACATATATTTTGACTTACCATAATTTATTTTATACAAGTTATGTTTTATAAATTATATTAATATTTCAATTACGTGGATTAATTTCTGAACTCTATTTGTTTAAAATGAAACCCATGAATATATTTGTTTAAATTTTAGAAAGTATTTGACTATGACCTTATAAACAATTATGTTTTGTAAGTACCACCACGGGCGTCCCATGCCTTGGGAGACTTAAATAACCATTGGCCTCTGTTTGGCCACTTTGTGATCTTCTGTTTGTCATGGATCTATTCACCTCTATTCTGATTGTCATTCCTATGACCCCTGTTTCGTTCTGTTCTATACCATGGTTATGGTTATTTATTTACATAATTTTCGTATTTCAGTTTCTGCCATTTTAAATAATTTGTTTATTCAAATTAAGTTATGTAAATGTTTTAGCTTAACTAACTATCCATGGTTATTTTATATTCCCTATACTATTGGTATAATATTTCTCACTATGTTGTGTGCTTATAGCTGTTACCCTTTCAGGTGACGAGATGTAAGGAAGACCATAACCTTATGTAGTGGAACCCGCACAAGAATTTGATACTGATCCGTTATTTTATTTTATTTTTTCTTTTTTTTACTGAGGGCCGATCACTGGATAATAAAATAATAAAAGCCCTATAGATGTATTTTCTTTTATCAAAATAGTAGAATGAAGTAAATTTTCTGTTTAATTATTTTTATTTTCCACCACCTGCGCCATTTAATTTGTTACAAATAAATTAGTAAGTTGCGATTTCAGCCCTAAGCCCTTGGGGTTGGGTCGTGACAAAATCTACCTAAAACAATGCTGAAAATGAAAGAAATAAGCAAAAATATGAGAACAACAAGAGAGTAACACTAGAGAACAAGCCTATAGAAGGGTGGCTAACCCTTCCACCTTCAACAAAGTTCAAATCACATTTTAAAGCCCAAAATAATCTGAAAAACAATATTGAAATGAAGAACAAGAAGCTTAAAAAGAAAGGAAATGGAAAGAGTTGAAGAATCAACCTCTAGAGAAGAGAAAGAGTTTCTTGGTTCACAAACTCCAATCCGAACACTATCAGGTATCTGAAATTATGTTCAAAACTTCAGCAAAAAGCTTCAAGTTCAAGTTTTAATGGTGTATCTATACTGTATCTATATTTCAAAAAGGTAGAGAAGCTTTAGGCAATTGTCTAAGCCTTTGGGAAATTGTTCTAACCCTAGACTCTGAGGTGAGGTGCTATATTTATAGACTTTCACCTGCCTTCAACAAAAATATCTACAAAAGAGACAACTAGTTCAAATCTCGTACATGGGACCAGCTTGCTGCTGCAAAATATCTGTTCTTGGTACACCTAGCCGACCGGTCCATAGAGTATACGATAGACCAAACAAATGTGGCCTACCAGACATTTTTTTTTGTGGTCTTGTTGCTGTAACAACCCCGAACTCTGATTAATGTTAATCCATGATTAATTATGCCTAATAAGTAATCAAGAAGAAATCCTGAATTAATTGCATGTGTTATGTGCTATATGAGTTTCTATCTGTTCTGTGTAGGAATATTTATCCCTAGTTTTTGTTCTATTCTGTAAATTGAAGGCCCTATTAGTATCCGATCACAAAATTGACTTGGTTTTTGTGTTAGTTGGAATTTTTAGAATTTTATGGTAGGTTTAATTAAAATTCGAATTGGAACGAATTAATTAGAATAATTAATGTCTATTTGATTAATAGCAAGCTCAATTATTTAAACCTTCTTAATTAAGTCCATATAAGGCATGTGAGAACTCTAGGACACATTTTTACACCTTCATCATCCTCTTCTCTTTCAACAAAATGTGTGAGAGATGAAGAAGATGAGACTTGAGCTCAATTAAAGGGAATTGCTAGAAAAGATAAAGATTTGGAGAGAACTTGGAAAACTAAGCTCTCACACTTGAGAATTCAAGCTTGAGGTCGAAATTCACTCCTCTAGTTGTTTAGTTGTAGTCTTTAATGCATGAATTCAAAAGAATTAGCTAATTCAACCAAGAATTAAGCTTAAGAAGAAGAATTAAGAAGATAACCACACATGCATGCAAATTCTCTTGCATTTAGACCTTGATTTTGAGGAAGTCTCACATGCATGCATTGATCATGGCTTGTTTTTGGAAGTTCATCACATTTCGCATGTTTGTACCTTACTTGATTATATTTTGGAAAGTTAAAACTCATATCATCACATGCAAGTCATATTTTCAACATTCCAAGTTTGGTTTTGTATAATTGGCAAAAATTTTGGGTTGATTTTTGCAAAGTGGTT